ACGGTACAAATTCATGGGGAGTAAAACGAACAAACAATTAATCGATGAGTATGATTGTAATTATCATTATAATTAATTTAAAAATAATTAATAATTAATTTATTGGTGTGAACACAGATGTATAACGTACGTCAGGCGTACGCTAGCCTTTGCCATATATATATATATATATATATATATATATATATGGGGAGTTCTACGGTACCCAGGGTGAAATCCGGGGTACCACATACCTTGAGTAAGAAAACACTATCCAGAATTTGAATTGACTGATCTTTCGGACATGATACTATGCTCTAACCCTAAACGATCAACATCTAGGTCATAATTCTTTAAATCTTATACCCCAAGATCAATTTAATTAGAAACAATAATCGACGGTTATGATTTGTGCAAATATAGGCAAAAAATCAATGCACCATCTTAGGGTTTATAGTTTATGATTTAAATAATTAGGACCTAGGGTTCACTCATTAACGGTTAGGGTATAGTATCATGCCCAAAAAACCTACTAATTCGAGGTCTAGATAGCGTTTTCATACTCAAGGTATGCGGTACCCCGGATTTCACCCGGGGTACTCTAGAAGGCACCATATATATATATGGTGATGACTGGTGTACGTCAGGCGTATACTATACGTCAGGTGATCTAGCCGTTAGATGTGGAGTTCTATGGTACTCAGGGTGAAATCCGGGGTACCGCATACCTTGAGTATGAAAACGCTATCCAGACCTTGAATTGACTGATCTTTCGGACATGATACTATACTCTAACCCTTAAAGATCAAAATCTAGGTCTTAATTCTCTAAATCTTATACCCCAAGATCAATTTAATTAGAAACAATAATCGACGGTTGTGATTCCTCCAAATATAGGCAAAAAATGAATGAACCATCTTAGGGTTTATAGTTTATTATTTAGATAATTAGGGCTCCTCCAGCATACACCATCTAAGTTTGGCCAACAATGTTTGATTAAACTACTTATACCTTGAAAATCCCAGACCCTCATCCTCTTTACTCATACACAACGAACTCCAAGAAGCCCATCTACCACCCTCATTTCCCCACCAAAATCGTGTCATATACTTGCAAATTTAGGACATAAAGTTGTCGGTAACTAGAAACAAGGCATAAAGTTGTTGGCTATGCCGATACAACCGATTTAAGTACAGTTTGCTTCGTCACCCATGAAAGGTCACATTGTTTCCGTCCTTGCAATTTCACTACCAATTTATCCTCCAAGTATCGGAAGGTGGCGGTTCTGGACCAGGCAACTAGCATCAGGTAAACCTTAATACTTATCCTGCACACCAACCGCCCCCACCCAAGCCTAGTAGCCATTGCTACCCCTTTGCATGACCAAAATTTTGACTAAACCTCAACCCAAATTGAATGGTCCATATATAAGTATATAAATAGCACAAGTTTTTTTAAGTGGGCTAGTGGGATGTGGAAGGGTGCACCATAGGACTTGCTAAGATTTATCTTAAGAACAATTTTCGTCTTCTTAACTTACATTTTTCTAGTTGTCGATTATGCAATTTTTCCCTTTCGCTAGAAATTACTTTAAAGGAGAGTTTTTTCTTCTTAACCCATGTTTTCCTAGCTGTTCATTAGGCAAGTTTTCCTTTCGCTAGGACTTACCTTAAAGGGGTTTTTTCTTCTTCTCTCACGTATAGTTTTCCACTTAACCCACATTCTTCTCCTTGTCAATTAGGCAAGTTTTCCATTTTGCTAGGACTTATGTTAATGGTTTTCTTTTTCTATTCTTGGGCTTTTTCTAATGTAGATTAGGAAAGTTTCCCCTTTCTCGTTTCTTAAGGGGTTATATATTAGTGCACATGTGTGAAATGGTTGTTCACTGAATGCTGAAGTTCAATGCTCATGATTACTCAATAACTAGTGTATGGACTTTACTATGACTAGGAGAAATCGGTTTATTGTTATCTCAAATGCTAAATAATGACTAAAATCAATTCCAATCCAAAATGTTTCGAAATTGCATCACTATATACCAAATACTAAATTAAATAACGTCATATTAAAAACAATTATAAGGTGGTTTGAATTGAAACTTTCTATTTATGCATGTTAAAAGTGAAGTATTATGTGCAATGGTCTAAACTTAAACTTCAATATTATTAAATCACTCATAATTCTCTAAATATCAATTTAGTTTCACTATAATAATTCATCAATACTACTAAGCAATTCATTCTTATAAAATATTTCATCATAAACATAAAGGGTTAATTGCATGGTTGGTCACTGAGATTACAAAAAACGTTCAAGTTTGGTCACTCGAAATATTTAAATCCATTGGTGGTACTTCAGTTTACTCAAACCGTTCAGGTTTGGTCACTCTCCGTCCAACTCCGTTAACTTTGGCTGATGTGGCAGTCAACTCTCAAAGTTGACCGTTAACTTAGTGACGTGGCAACTAAAGAATTATTAAAAATAAAAAATTAAATTTTTATATTTTCCACCTCATTATTACATTCATTAAATAATAAAAAAATAATAAAAAACCTAATACCCTACCCGACCCAACCCAACCTCCACCACCGCTTCAATCCTTTCCACATGGCCTAGTCAAGCTGAGCCCAATCCTCCTCTCCAAATCGTATCTACGGGAATTAGCCGTCGACGCAGCAATGAATGACCATCTTTTCGAAACCTAGGCTTCAGACGTTCAACCACTCTGCCCTCAACCCGAATCGACTTGCTGCTAGCACCATCGTCAATCCATCCTTGGCCCTCGTCTGAAATCATGGAGCTCGAAGATCCAAAAAGAACATAACCTTCAGTCCATTACTAGCACTCACCGTCCACAAATTCTTTCCTTTCTTCACACAGCTGCAGGTTCCCAAAACAAGCTTTTCAACGGTTTCCCCTGCCACCAGTTGGAACTCTCATCGATTGGAACCACCACAAAAAACTCCTCCCCCTCTTGCAAGTCTCGGTACTCCTCGAACGCCCTGAACCCAACTGATACCCAATGGAATGACTCGGATCCTTACTTCTTGCTGCGGGTGTTAGGGTTTTGCAACTCCCGATTGCCGCCACCTGCAAAGACTTACCTGACGTTCTTAAGAGCAAGAATCATACAACTCTCTCGTTCGCTTCTATCCTAATATCCTTATACTTGCACTAGCGCTAGATGGAGTATGAATATATATACTTGCACTACGGCTCGGGATACGAGGTTCTTGTCGGCGAATTCCTCCGTCATCTCCAGGAAATGGGATGCACAGTGCAGCATCGCGACGTTTGAGAGGTTGATGTCAACGTGGATGTCGTAGCAGAATCTGGCCGCTGCCTCGAAGATCGGGGCTCCGCCGGGGATGTAGGGGATGCTGATTCGTGCAATTTTGGAGTCCTTGGATTCCAACAGTAGATTCCAAATCCTCCCGCTTCGAGAAACCAGCGGAAACTGCAGAGTGATTGTTGGCCTTAAATTCGAAATTGAGACAAAAAAGAGCTGGTAATCAAGTCGTTAATTACCTTGTGCAGTAGCGGCGCGGAGGAGTGGGAGGAGGGATTGAAGCCGGCGCCGGGGACGGGGATGGGGCAATAGTCGGAGTTGGGTGGTTGGGGAGTGTTGCTACGGTGGTCGGATTCCATGGCGGCGGTGGAGGTTGCTGGGTCGGGTAGGGTATTAGGTGTTTTATTCTTTTTATTTTTTAAAGAACGCAATAATGAGGTGGAAAATATAAAATTTTGTTTTTTTATTTTAATAATTTTTTAGTTGCCACATCACTAAGTTAACGGTCAACTTTGAGAGTTGACTGCCACATCAATCAAAGTTAACGGAGTTGGACGGAGAGTGACCAAACGTGAACGGTTTGAGTAAACTGAAGTATCACCAATGAATTTAAATATTTCGAGTGACCAAACTTGAACGATTTTTGTAATTTCAGTGACCAACCATGCAATTAACCCTAAACATAAAAACAAGGATATTAAGAATTGGTCATTTATATTTCGAGTGACCAAACATAACATTACATTTAAGTTCGACATTAGTTATAATGTACTAGAAATTCGCTACCAAAATGGAATAAAAACATAAACCATTATATTATCAATTCAAATCCTTAAATTATGTGTTAAAATTTTCATGTGATTAATACGTCCGAGCATTAAATAAACAGTAAAAAGGAGGATTCCATAATAGTGTGAGACTGAGAGTTTCGACGCATTTAGTACATATACAGAGTATTAAATAAATTTTTTACTAACTATATGCATAAGAAGCTTTGACACTCAACCAAAAATGTGGCCAAACCTTACGCATAATTTTTTTTAATTTCAAAATTTTGGTTCAAAATTATATTTTTAACAGATTTCATTCAAAATTAAGTATTCGAAAAAAGAAAAAATCAACCACAAATAAAACACGAGATAATTAATACTCAATTCAACTACCGCAGCAAAGCGCGGCAACAAATCTAGTAACTCATAAAGTACACATAATTGATAATTCACTCCTAGCCATACCCTAGAACTTCAGAGCCACGTAGGTGAGTTTGGAAATGTAGTTTTCGCCAACACCAGTCACCACCGTCTATTCTCAGTTTATCATCATCGAATGCTTCTACTGTTCTACAGAAGAATAGAAAAGTCGGATCAAAGATAATTTGGTGAATAATCACATTTCATAGGCCATTAGAAGCCAATCTGTCGCATGAAGTACCAATCTCAAAATTAATTACGATTATTGTTGTATCGAGGAATCATAACATAATTAGTTAATTACCTTGCCAATTCACAGTTAAATCACAATTCCTTGTGGCGTTCGCTTTCCTAAACACCCAGTCAGTACCGTCATTCTCCTCTTCAAGAAATGACCATTGACACAAATTCCCTCCTTTTTATACTCCGCCGCCTCCATTTTCACTGCTTCATTTGCTGTTTTCCCGTCCTCTGTTTTACCCTCTAAACAAATCCCCACCAGAGAAGAAAGAAAGAAAGAACGAATTAAGAAACCCTCTGCCATGAATCTAGCCCAGCTGCTGCGAGTATCAATCTCAATCTTTCTGGCTTCATTGCTTCTTTCCTTTTCTTCACCTCTCGCTGACTCCGCTCAATCCGATATTAATGACTTCTACCCGGAGGAGCGGGACGCACTGCTGCAAATCAGGGACTCCCTACCGTCGACGGCCGATCTCCACGCGCTGTGGACGGGTCCGCCATGTCGCCGGAGCTCCAGCAGGTGGCGAGGCGTCGCCTGTGAGGACGGCCACGTGGTCCACCTGGTGCTTCAGGGGATCAACCTGACGGGCAACCTTCCGACCCAATTCCTGCAAAACATAACCTTTCTGACCAAACTGAGCTTCGTCAACAATTCCCTCCGTGGGCCGCTCCCCAATTTGACCGGTCTCGTCAGGATGGAGCAAGTCTCTCTGTCCTTCAACTGGTTCACCGGTTCGATCCCTCCGGAGTACGCTGCCCTGCCCAATTTGAAGATCCTGGAGCTGGAGGGAAATTCTCTACAGGGGACGATTCCGGGGTTTAATCAATCCGGGTTGATCAGATTCAACGCGTCGCACAATCTGCTCGGTGGTCGGATTCCTAGTACAATGGCTCTGGAGAGGTTTCCCCTTAGCTCATTCGACCACAACTCGAAGGAACTCTGCGGCCCCCAGTTGGACCCCTGCCCTGTTTTGCCGCTGCCGAATCCGACTCCGTGGCGGAAAAGGGAAATTGGAGTTAAGCTATGGGTGAGTGCGGTGATCGCACTAGGAGGTGCAACAATGCCGCTCAGTATCATCATGCTCTGCCTGCTCTGTCGCCGAAAACAGGGGAAGGGGAACCAAACTCCGCAAAGTAATAAACTTTTTTCGTTCCTTACAATTGAATTTGTTGTCAAGTTGGAGAGTAGTTTACATTTTTGAAATTTAACTGCTCCCCAATAGGCGGAAGCTACATAGACTGGTCAGTGAAGATGAAGGGTTACTCAGGGAGCGCGACGACGAACCCAGCAGAGAGAACAGTGGAATTGGACTTCTTCGTGAAAGACATTCCTTCTTTGGGTATGGAAGAGTTGCTGAGGGCCTCTGCGGAAATCCTGGGGAATGGTAAAAATAGTATCACATATAAGGCGACCTTAGAATCGGGAGCCGTTGTGGCGGTTAAGCGTCTAAAAAACTTGGACGTCTCATCTCAGAAAGAATTCTTCCAGCAGATGCAGCTCCTCGGAAAGCTAAAGCACCACAACCTGGCACAGATCGTCTCCTTCTACTACTCCTCGGATCAAAAGCTCATCATCTACGAGTACGTCCATGGCTACAACCTCTTCGAATTGATACATGGTCAGTTCCTCTTTCCACTACACGATCATTAAGCCTATGATTGATCATCACTATCAATGATGTCAATACCGCGCTATAAACTTTAAAAGCTTACGTTTTTACACTTCAATGTCACCCGAACGCTTTTAACGTAGAATCACCCTTTTTTTTCCTTTTCTTTACAAGTGTAATCAAAATATCTATCATTTAAAAGTTAAAAACTTACGAATTTACGCTTCTATATCACCAAAACGATTCTTCGTAGAATCGCATTTTTTACTGCATTGATCACTAGCTTATTGGTCTGATGCTCTGTTTTTGGCATTCGTAGATAACAGAGGAACAGGAAGGATTGCATTGGATTGGACAGCGAGGGTATCGATAATCAAAGACGTAGCACATGGTTTGGCGTTTCTCCATGCTGCCTTGCCTTCCCACAGGGCGCCTCACGGCAACCTGAAATCATCCAATGTCCTTGTCCGCCGGGAAGGTCTAAACTACTGCTGCAAGCTCACCGACTACGGCCTGCTCCCGCTTCTTCAGTCCCAGAAACTTCACGAAAGGCTGGCCGTCGGGAGGTCGCCGGAGTATTGTCAGGGAAAGCGATTGACGCACAAGGCTGACGTGTACTGCTTGGGAATCCTGCTCCTGGAAGTCATCACCGGGAAGATCCCTGACGACAGGCCGCTGACTGGGGACGATATGGCGTCGTCGTTGGATGACCTATCCGGGTGGGTTAGGTCGACGGTGAACAGTGATTGGTAGACGGAGATATTGGATGTAGAGATTATGCAGTCGAGAGAAGGGCACGGCGAGATGTTTCGGTTTATTGACTTGGCGCTGGAGTGTACTAGTGGTCTGGCTGAGAAGAGGCCAAAGATGAGCGAAGTGTTGAGAAGGATTGAGGAGATTGGGTAGAGAAAGAGATAAAGAGACGTGTATGTGGAGGGAATGGAAGGCACTTTGTAGAGATGCAAAATTGAATCGATTTTGATTGTTCTTGTTCAAAGCTAACTCGGATGTGGTCGGGGCTTCATTATTCGTGGGAGAAAGGGGGAAGAAAAGGTAGAAATCCTATGTTGCCTAGCTAGTTTAGTAGTGATACTTATGTGAAGAAAGAAGCTGGTAATGATTCTTTTTTTTTTTTAATTCCTTTTTTACTAATTAAGCAGCTAGATTTGGCAATTGTAATTTTTGTTTTGTGAATGTACGGTACGACTGCTTTTTTCTTCTTCTATCGGAGTCTAAATCGATAGATGATTTTTAGTAATATTAAGAGATTAAACTTCTGGTACAGTTTTACAATATTTGGACGTAATCACACACATCTTTTGGGGGTAAATGATAAGGTTGGTCACTAGGATTACTAAAACCGTTTCGTGTTTGATCACTAAAAATATTTAATTCTATTCATGGCCACTAGATTTAGTGAAACATGTCATGTTCATGTTTGATCACTAAAAATATTTAATTTTGTTAATTTTGTCTGACGTGGCGGTCAACTCTCAAATTTGACCATTAAATGTATGACATGGCAATTTTTTTCTTAAATGTCCACTTCATTATCACTATCATTAAAAATAAAAAATTGTTCTTTTTAGTTCCATAGAATTTCCCATCGAGCAGTTTGGGTTGCCGAGCTTGGAAGTTGTTTCTCTGGAGGAGAACATATTGTCTCCAAGTGCTCGAGCTTCGTTCGAATCGCTGGACCGGTGAAATCCCAGGTGACATCTCTCGTTTATCCCGGCTAAACGTTCTCTATTTGTGGCAGAATGGTTTGACAAGGGAGATCGAAAAATTGAAGGAAATGGCATCCTCCGAGGTGAAAGAAGTTGAGGGAAATGGCCGCCAGAAAGAAAAGCATACCGACTCGTGGAAGCTCCGACAGGGGTAGAGGAAGAGGAATCAATGGCCCTAACAATGGAGGCGGAGGAGGGCCTAAGCTGGTAATATTCAAGAACAAGATAACTTACGCCCAAACCCTTGAACTCACGAGGAATTTTCACAAGGAGAATGTCCTAAGCAGGGGATTGATTTCAGCTACGAACGACTCCATTCCTCGGCTCCTAGTGCTCTCCCTGTCGCGGAACGAGCTCTCCGGTCAATCCCATCGTCTATTTTCTGCAATGTTGGATAGGCACCGACAATTTTTCAGCGGAAGGGCTTCATTTTGTGGATTTAGGGTTTAATGCACTCACGGGGATAGCTCAGCCGCTTGATGTCGGCGGAGGAGAAGGAGGTGAGAGGATGTCAGCCAGAACCCGAGCTCTGCCGCCGGAAGGTGAACTCGGGACACCCTAAAGCAGTAAAGCTGTGGGTGTGTGACCACGTGCTCAACCTGGTCAACATCACGGTGGGTGCGCCGCCGGTGAAGCCTTGTTGCATCCTCCTTGACGGGCTGGTGGATTTGGAGGCACCACTCGGCCTCTGCACGGCGATTAACGCCAACATTTTGGGGATCAACCTTAACATCCCAATCTCCCTCAGCTTGCTCCTCAATTCTGCGGCAACTCTGTCCACCCAGGCTTCTAGTGCTGGTGATCTATCGTTTCACGATGCCATTGTTAAAGCTAGCTATTGCTTGAACTCGCATGGAACTGGCTACAGATCCATGTGGCGGAGAAGGAGCGACAGAGGCGGCGGAGCTGATAATTAGTGAGGTGTAGTGAATTAAAATGAGTAATTTTTTTATTTTTGATGGTAGTGATAATGATGTGAATTTTTTTTTTAATTTTCAAATTGGCGCGTCATTTATTTAATGGTCAACTATGAGAGTTGACTACTACGTCAGATAAAGTTAACGGAGTTGGACGAAGAGTGACTAAACATGACATGTTTTACTAAATCTAGTGACCATGAATGAAAATAAATATTTTTAGTGACCAAACATGAACGTTTTTAGTAATATCAGAGACCAACCTTGTCATTTACCCATCTTTAATTTTTTGGTATATAAAAGTCACAATTTTGTTATGTTTATTAATGGTATTTTGATAATTAACCATAACTTCGGAGGGCAATGATCCATTAGAGTGGGTCTCACTCCCACCCAATTTCCTCCCTCTTTTCCTTTATCCTACTATTGGAAGTTATGTGATCCAGAACTTTTTCAATTATGACCTTTCTAAATATGTTATGGTGCTCAAATCTGTATATTTCTTCATGTTTAGTTTTACGACTTTAGTCATCTCACTCGAACTCGAGCTCAACTAAGAAAATGACAGGAGAAATCTTCTAATATAGGTTATCATTCATTAAGCATAACTTTTGTTGTTGTGCTGAAATCGACCTCTTTGTTTGGATTTGATTTTGCATTCTTAATCACCTCTTTCTTGCTCTCCTTAAAATGGCGACAGTGGCCTCGAAACCAAAGGAATCAGATTTTACATTCTTTTGTCTTTTTTGTCTTTATTTTTTCTTCCATTTCAAATGCAGAAACTTCGTAAATACTCTAAGTAACAGTTGCGGAGTTCCAAATATGTAGATTGGTCCTCTAATTTATAACATCGTACTACCTTCTACTCGTCGCGTAGCGCAAGCAATCACGCATATCTGGTACATCTTTAAATGGAAGAAGAATTGCAGAGATAAATATACATCACTTATCACATTTTATTCATTCATAATACAAGGTTATGTTTGGACCAAAATTATTAGACCTGATTGTTGATAATAATAATAATTATTATTATTATTATTATCATAGATTCGAATTACTTTGGTTCATCTCCACGGTATGAAAGAAATGTGTAGTGGCACAAGTGATCTTAGTGATCTACACTCGTATGTATTTTAGTATGGAGATGAGAAGAGATATATTTTACATCCCAAATGGGCTATAATTGGAGATATCATTATTTCTGATACAGAAGTTCCTATAAAAATGGGAAATGCCCTACCTTTAAGTGCGATTTGAACTATGGATTTACGTAATTGTAAGTAACCAATTAGGTTTATAGCGAAACCTAGAAATCGATCACTTGTCCAATTTGAGTAACTCTACAGAATAGACCTCAACAGGTATGTAAATCTAGAGAGAGTTTTAGATAGAAATTGAGAGTGAGTATCATTTGTAGAGGATAAGGATTTGAAGTTAAGATCCTTTAACTGGGAGGCTTAACATTTAATATATATAAGACAAGAGTTTACATATTTGACTTAGCATTTTGCTATGAGTTTAGACTAGGAGGTGTTGCCTGCAATTTTTTTCATAATGTGCATTTTGTGTTGTGACTTGTGATTATCATTATTCACATTTAGGCAGGAATGAGTTAGTGTGGTTATTAAATTTTTAATAATTACGGTGGCTACCTTAATCTACATCATTCATTATTTCTTTTTCATCCTATTTTTAGATTAACGATGAAGTTTATATTAGGGTAATTTTGGAAATAAAAAATACACCACACTTGATTATTCTATAAATTATATCCAAACCCTAACCATACTGCCTACTGCAACCGGCCGCCTACCACCAAACTCCCTCTCGCCGTCCCTCCTCCCTCCCCAGAACACTCTCCGCCGCCCTCTCTCCCCAAAACCCCCACCACCGCCAGCCGGCCTCCTTCCCCTCCCACCTCTCTCGCATGATCCATGATCTCCATCCCCCCTCCCCCCCCCCCCCCCCCCAGATAGCAACAACGTGATGTTAGCCTGGTAGGCCGGCCAACCTCTCTCTCTCCTTCCCTCCCTAACTCTCTAAGTCTCTATCCATTGTAGACATAAAAATCTAGATCTGATAATTTTTTGTTTTGGTATTGGTTCATTGTTTGTTTTTATGAAATGGTATAGTTAGTTTTTCTTAATGGTAGTGATTTTTTCCGTAGTGGTAGTGTTTTTTTCGCATTGGTATGGATTTTGTTGCATTGGTATTGATTTTGCTGTATTGGTATTGTGTTTGTTGCATTGGTATTGATTATCAAGTAATTGTATTAATTTGCATGTATTGGTATTGATTAAATATGCAATGGTATTGATTTTTTGTGAAATGGTATAGATTTAGATTGGTAGATTGTTTATATTGGTAGTTTTCGTGTAATGGTATATAATTATTTTTGCAATGGTATTGATATTTTTCAAAGTGGTTAGTGGTTGTCTAATGTATTGGTAGTGATTTAGAGTTTTTTTTTTCTTTTGCAGAAAGATTGAGAAAAATAAGGAAAGGGGATCTGGCTGGAGATTATGGATGTGAGAGAAAGAGAGAGAATTGTAATTAATAGATTCTTGTAACTACCGAAAATGTAATTTATTAAAAAATTAATTAATACAATTTATTTTTCATACCCAATTTACCCTTAATAACCACGGTGATTACTTCTCATACCCAATTTACCATTTAGGCACCTTCTTTTACTTCTCACCTTGAATCTTTTATTTTTTGTCTCTTTCAAAACAATGTATGTGGTGACTTAGTAAAAAATTCAAGTAAAACATATTTGTAATGTTTTTGTGATGTAAATAAACAAATAATGGTAAGAGGGCAGGACAATTACAGAGATAAATATACACTTGTGCATTTATCACATTTTATTTTATTCAACTAGAACCATCTGTTTCTACCAAATTTAATAAATTATACACTAGGCAATGATGATGATGATAATAACAACATTTTCACCCAAATTCAGCTTTTTTCTGTTTCATCTCCACGGGTATGAAGGAAATATGTGAAGTGGCAGAAGTGATCCAAATTTTTTACACTATAAGTAGGTCGAAAGTCCGTGCGAACCCCGGGATAGGGATGGGCAACGGGACGGGTTGAAATATGTAAAAGGCAGAAGTGATCCAAATTATTTACACTATAAGTAGGTCGAAAGCCCGTGCGAACCCCGGGAACTATAAGTAGGTCGAAAGCCCGTGCGATACCCGTCCCGTTTGAAACGGGTACTCAATCCCGTTTGGAGCTCAAAGTCCATCACATTCCCAAATCCATATGGGTAAACGGGTACCCATACTACCCACAAATACCCAAAGTTTGAATCACTAAAATTCTAAACTTAACTTGTACCTTCTTAATACAAATTCATGAACAATCACAAGGCATAGAATAAAGCATTCCAAGCACCCATAACATTAACAGCTAAGAAACTGCTAAGTGTTCTGCAATTGGCCAATTCTTGAATTCCGATTCCGCTGACCCCCAGGTAGCTGTAACCTACAAAATAGAGGGAAAATTTCCCACTGTACACATGTTTTTAAAAAAAATTCTCAAAATACACATGTTATGAAAAAAATTCCCAAACTACGCATGTTTGGGTCTTCACCGCGTTAGAGAAAAACGGTGATTGCATCACCGCTGTAGACAAAAACGGTGATAGCTTCACCGTGTTCGACGGCCGCGGTGAAGGCCTGACCTGCGTCGAATCTTTAAAAAAACGTAACTTTGTGCTCGGTTATCCGATCGTGGTGAAATTTTTTTTGATTCCACATAGATTTTCGAAAAATTATGCGGAATCAAAAAAAAATTCATCACGATCGGATAACCGAGCAAAAAGTTACGTTTTTTTAAAGATTTGACGTAGGTCAGGCCTTCACCAGGCCTTCACCGTTTTCCTCTAACGCGGTGATGCATTCACCGCGTTTCTCTACAGCGGTGATGCAATCACCGTTTTTGTCTAAGGCGGTGATGCAATCACCGTTTTCGTCTAACGCGGTGATTCAATCACCGCCTTTGTCAGACGCGGTGAAGGCCCAAACATGCGTAGATTGGGAATTTTTTTCATAACATGTGTATTTTGAGAATTTTTTTTAAAAACATGTGTACAGTGGGATTTTTTCCCAAAATAGAGTTCATTATCAACAAATTAAAGGGGAAAGCAAAACACCAAAACCATATCAACTAACAAGCATTATTTGCTGCATTCTACAACCTGCAAAACATCTATGTAATAACAAGCAAAACAACAAATCCATTATCTTTCAACTGTGTTCTTCTTGGAATTAAAAATAAACAGCTACCCCGTACCTATCTTTCAACATGTATTATAAATATAAACCTTGTCCAACAAGAATAAATCAATTCAACAGCAAATAAACGAGCACCTCATCTGCGATGATTGAAGAGTTGCCCAGAGTGCTGCTAACGGCTGGGTGGAATGACCAGAGTGTCGCGACAATTGGAGAGTTGAGCTGAGTCCCGAGATGAGAATTCTGATTGCCGCAGCTGGGTGGATCAACGGCTGGGCTACAGAGATTCTGAATGCGGCAACAATCGAAGAGACTATAGTCTGAGAAGAGGTCAGAGGAGTCAGGGCGAGCTGTTGGGCGCTGGCTGCGCGGTGCTCCTGCCTGTCGAGGACGATCGAGGAGAGGAGTCTCACTCGTCTGTGATCTATTGACAAGGGAATTAGGGAAACTGGGAAAGGCCGTCGAAAGGGTTCAGGCTGGGCTGGGCCTGACCTGAAGGAAGGCAATTGAGAAACGGGTTTTGTGTGTTTCAGTTTCATCATTTGTACACTGAACGGGTTTAACGGGTACTCATATTACCCAAACGGGTATTTGCGGGTAACCCGCGGGTACCCATTGTAGTAATGTACAATCCCAAGTACCATCTGTTAATAATATTACGGGTATATTGGGTACCCGTAATCCTCAAAAAACGGGACGGGTACGGGTATACCCGAATACCCGTTACCCATTGCCCACCCCCACCTCGAG